ATGAGGCAGTTCCTCAGCTCCGCCTAATTGAATTGCTCACCAAGCAGATGGTTTCTCTTGCCAAGAAGCATGACCCGGACACAGAACTGAAGTCCTGGTCTCAGGGCAGCAAGGTTGTGGGTATTTGTCGTATCATGCTGAAGCACCATCACAGCTCTCATATATTCCTTCCCCTGACCCACCTACTCGTGCGCACCATCGAGTCATTCCCAGACCTAGAGATCCGGGACCATGCAAGGTATCTTCATCTTTTTTTTCTTCTTTAAATCAGGCACACATAATTCTGGCATAGCTTTGCTTGTGTTATCTGTTTCCCTAGCCTTCTCACTGCTTGAAATGATTCGTCCAGGATATGTTTGCGGATGTTGTCTTGCATTCCTGGCAAAAAACTGAGGAATCTCATGGGGATTGGAGAGCAACCCACACCCTCGCATCCGGGTTCCATGTTTGATGACCCATCAGAACGTCCTGCTCAAGATCCTAGCAGCATGCCTGCTTTGGCATCATACATTCATCTTGAAAGAGTTGTGCCTCTGGTTGTGAAGCAGTCATGGGCCCTCACATTGCCTAATTTCAGTGTCCAGAGCAGAGCGTCTGGTCACATCATAAGTATACAGGATGTGAGTGTGACTCCAGAGCAAGAAAAGCCACCACAACCTACCATCGAAAGAATTGGCTATACACAAGAAGCGCTACGCGTGATGGATTCAAAGGGGGCTGAAACTTTGGAAATCCTTAGAAGGCACTTTTCATGCATTCCTGACTACCTGCACTCATCTGGCGGTCTCAAGGTCAAAATACATTGCACATTTAGATTTGATTCAGAGCCATTTAACAGAGCTTGGGTATCTGATTCACCTGTTCCAAGTTCTGAAGGGGAAGATGAGTTGCCTGCCCTTTATGCAGTGACAATTACCTTGTCATCCAGTGCACAGTTCGGAAAAATTCCCTCATGTCATGTGCCTTTCCTTTTGGGTGAGCCTCCAGCTTCCGGTGTGGACATTGTCCCTGTAGATAACTGCCACCAGGAAGAATCAAGTTACCGGGCATCAGTAATGATAGAACTGGAGCCCCGAGAGCCATCACCTGGTCTTATTGACGTTGAAATTGCAGCAAACACAGAGAACTGCCAAGTCATATGTGGTTCTCTTCAGCCCATTACAGTTGGCATCGAGGACATGTTTTTGAAGGCCAGCGTACCTCCTGATACTCCGAAAGATGCTACAGCTGCGTATTACCAGGACCTGTTTCATGCTCTATGGGAGGCCTGTAACAGTTCATCTAACACAGGCCGTGAGACCTTCCCTTTGAGCGGAGGGAAAGGGTTAGCTGCGATCAGTGGAACCCGGTCTGTTAAGCTTCTTGAGGTGACTCCAAAGGTTCTGATAGGAGCTCTTGAGAGATACTTGGCTCCCTTTGTTGTCAGTGTTGCTGGGCGTTCACTTATCACTATTCTAAGTGGTAATGGAGTCATTGAGAATGTCGTGTGGGAAGAAAGTGACTCAGATGCTGCTGTTGGTGCTGACGCATTGGTTCCATACTCCATGGAAAACAATCTCCAGCTTCAGCACATCGATGATGATGAAATTGGGATTGGTGCGCAGAGGTTTGCTCATCTAAGCAAGAGGGATATGGGTGTCGTGAGCGTTCTGATATTCCTGCCGCCCAGGTATCACCTCCTCTTCTCAATGGAAGTAGGCTATGCCTCCACATTGGTCAGGATAAGAACAGATCATTGGCCATGTTTGGCATATGTTGATGAATACTTGGAGGCGTTGCTGCAATAGTGAAGGTTTCTCTGGCCAAGACTCTTCAGTTTTGTACCTTATGTAACAGTAAAGAGTATACAATGCAAGCTGTTGTTTTTTCCATTTTCCGGGGGGTTCTTTTTCTGTACCATGAAGTCTGGAGCGTCATTCTTTCTGCGGATTCAGAAGTGTAATTTCCAGTGGAGAGGGCAATTTTGTTCATTGGCCATCATCTGGAATATGGGATTGTTTATATGTTGAAATCAACTTTCCATCCTATGTTACTTCACCAGCTATGTAAAGTTGAGGTCTTCTTTCGTGTTGATCTGTGAAAAGAGCAACTTGTGGTAATCAGTGTCCATTTGCAACAAATTTGTAAGTCTTCAGTGTTTCAGTCTTGAGCATTCAAGCCTTGTCAGCAGATGTTTGATGTACTACTTGATACTTCAATAAACAACGTACAACCTCATATCAGCATATTCCAGCCGTATACATTGTTTATTTCTGAGAAACCGAGCTTTATACACTGTATTTCAGTACATGGTGTTTGATCTTTGGACAAAATGCTAAGAACAAAAGCATTGGTATTTTGCTGTGATTGCATACCTCCTGGTCCCTTTATTCTGAAATGAAATCATTATTTATGAGGTTTGAGATCCTAAATAGCTCCTAGCTTGTGTAGTTTGCTAGGAGAGACTCTATAGCTGAATTCATGGTCTGTACATCATACTGGATTTGGTAGCCATGGCCTGGAGAGAGATAACTGAAAAATAGCAGCTGGGCCAAAGCAAACAAATGAATTTTGGTGGTTTATTTTCCGCAGTATTTGAATGGGCTTGCATACAAGGCAGGACTGGTGCAAGGTATAAAAAGCACTTGAATTCTAGGTCCAATAACTTCCTTATGCGGTCCAGTTTGTGCCACATTATCACTGTGTTCACTCCAGATTTTTCTTAAACTTCTGAATTCTGTTTTTTTGTTCGAAAAATGTCCTAAGGTTTTATGTTATTCGTTGGAAAGGCAGGGTCCGTCTTTAACAGCAAATAGTTGGAACCATTCCTGCTGTATAAACCGCTAAAGGTGCTATTCACTGGCAAAATGATGATGTAGCAAAATCGGAAGAATCAGACAATTTCAATCTCTTTCTGGTCTACGATAAGCAACCAGGTATAGAATCCTCCCTTCTCCCTAGCCTAACCTGCTGAGGACCTATATCTAACTTGTGTTTTTTTTATCTTGAAGCCTACCTCTCCCTTTATCCGGAATATGCATGAGGGCTAGATGTAATTGTTCAACATAATTTCATCTGTTGAGTTAAATTTCTTCCTTCAGTATGGCCTGGGGTATCCATAAGTTCAATATCAGTTCCAATGTTCCACGGGCCATTTCCAGTAAGTTTACACTCAGCATCAGCAGTAATATCCTCTACCTGTAACATCATACTTACTGCACTAGATAATCAGGGCAAATATCGGAGAGAAAATTGTTGAGCATTTTTGAGCACCAAAATATCCCAACTTTTCAAATACTGCAGAGCAAAGTAGATAATTTTCGGGGCAAATCGTGTTTGTTGGAGTTTGCTTTCTTGTTGATTTGTGAAAAGAGCAAAGTAAGGCAATTAATTTTCGGCCGCAACTAATGTGCTGGAAATAAAAAAGCAGTCTTCTGGCAAAGTCCCATATAAGTACA